GGTTTAGTGTGATCGAGACTAGTTAACGCTCAGCCCGCTGACAACGCCTGCATGCTCCGTGCTGTGGGTTCCTCTGGGTGAACGGTAGGTTGGAGAGCTTCCGTAAAACTGCGAGGAGGCCTGGGGCCAGGCAGCCGCGGTGTGCGCTGCGCAGCCCGCGCCAGCCCCCGTCCCCAGCACAGGGCATGGCCGCGTCCTCACCTTCCTTCCCCTCGGCGGAGAGGGAGGTACCCGGCAGGTCCCGCTGTCAGCTTGGCCGCCGTCAAGCCGCTCGGCTCCGCGTAACTTCACGTAAGGAGGTTGCACCGCAGCGCAGTAAGCGAGGAGACCGGTGGGAAGTAGGCAGAGATGGTCCTGTGGGTCCTAGGAAGAGTTTGTGAATGAGGTTGCACTGAGGGGTGGAGGGTGTTGGTTAACCAGAAGGCGAAAAACTCTTAACGAACCAAACTAACGTCGTTCTTTAAGGACGTTCTGCCATGTGCTTGCTGGAATATTCCTGTAATTGCATAAACGTGGGATCTGCAGATCCTGTGCGTTCTGTAGTGGTGAAGCATGTGTTAAGTGCAGTTAAAGTTAATATAGTTTTATTTAATATCCATTACAGTCACAAGCGTTTGACATACTCATGTGGAGAGAAAAAAGACAAATTCTTATGGTGCAGAATTCTTTTGTAGCAAACCAGATTTTGGAATGCTTTAAAAAGTTTTTATTTTTTCCAACTTTTGCTGGACAAATGAGATAAAATTTAAGGTGTGATGGTGGCAGCTTCATCCTTGGTATTTTATATTTGAACAGGCTTTCTATTGTGTCTTTATGTCTATTACGCTATTGAAATAATTGAAATTGGAATGACTGAAATATTAATTATATGACTGAAATATTAATTGTATTAATATGGGGGCCTGATGACAGTCATCTCACCAGATCCGTAACATAAGATCAAGTGGTTTCCAGTCACTGTAGAAAATTTTACAGGTTTCTTTAATAGACAGATTGCTTAAAACATTAGTCATTTGTAATGTGAAAATGATTGATCCTAATTACTGTCCGTTATGTGTTTCACTTCATGATTCATAATGTAATTTAGAGATGGAATTCTATAGCAATTACTTAAGCAGGAGATAAATCAAACGAGAAAAAGTTCTTGACTCCTTGCTTCCTACCTCTCAGACATTTCTGAACTGTTTAAAAATAACAGTTTAGATGCCAGCTCTGCTTTTGTTGTTGCGTATCTGTCTTCAGCCCCCAGAGATTGGGTGGATGCTGTAAATCTCACAAAAAGATTATGATGACTATTTTGTGACTGACCTTTGTAACTCATCTAGCTGTAAGCCGCTAATTCCAGGACCCCTGTTAGTTCCCTTGGTGTCAGTGCTGAAACTCCGAGTTTTGTTTTTCAGTGTAGAGGTGGGGGTTTAGAAACACTTGTACTTAATAGTCAGCTCATATTCGTTTTTTCCTGAGCAATGCTGACAGAGTCTGGTCCCTCGGTCCCGGAGTGCTCTCCATGCCGCCGCGCGCGGAGCTCTGATGCTGGGAGAAGCGTGACGCGGAGCTGCGCACGCGTTGAGGTGCGTGCCGTAACTGGAGTGCCGGGAGGAGAGGACTGCGGGATCGTACCGGGCAGTCACTGTCTTGTGGCAGTCAACGTGTCCTTTGGCAAACCTTCCCAGCTTCACCGGCATGTAAAAGGCGAGATGCGCTGCAGGCAGCTAGCCTGCAGATGGTGGGGGAGTCGTGCGAGAGTGCTTGCGCAAAGAGTAGCCCGGAGCCGCGCGGAGCTGTGCAGGACCTTCGCTTCCTTCAGCAGTGTCATGAGGAAGACGTACCAGTTCTTACACGCTGCTGCTTTCAAAAAGCCCGTGGTTGGTGTTTGAAGTGGGCTGCTAAAAGAAAAGAGCAATTCCACCACTGTTTTCTCGACATACATAATTCTCTTGTTTTGATTACACTCACAAAACATCACCTTTTGACCCATAAACCATTTCATCAAGATGCTTCCTTTTAAAATCGAAATACAGATAGCAGCAGTGATCAAGCTGCTTTTCACTTGCGTTTTCAGATTAGTTTTTTTGAGAAACATAGCTGGCAAAATCAAGTAGCAAAAACACAAACAGGAGTAAGTACATGCATACGCAAGGATACACGCTCTCTCGGTTTTATCTGCGTTTGACAACTTCAGTGTTTTGAAATAAGTGAAATTAATACCGGTATGTTACATGCCAGATTGTTGGGAGCTAGTTTTTGGTCCCCAACCACTAACGAGGAGTAAGATTTTGATTAATACAGTGTAGCTTATAGCAATATCTTAATCAGAGCACACAGCCTTCCAGTATTTTTCCTCTTTATCGGAAGAAGGAAGTTATAAAAAAAATAGATTTTCATTTTCTTAATTGAAAAGAGCACAAAATAAACTTTCAAACATGAAAGGGCAGATGATTAACTCTGCCTCGGGTTAGAAAAGATAATAAAGATGGGGAATGAGGGGGCGGCTTGGCATTACTGAGTTACGAAGACTGATTTTTCTAAGTTTAGTTGTTCCGTGCCTTGGGTTTAGTTTCTGTTTCGACACGGGTTTGGAGCCTGCATGATAGGAAGTTAGTAATGGCAGCTGGGTGCCGGCTGTGCGGTGGCGCGGGGTTTCCACGTGCTCTGGGATTTGGGGTACAGATAGGAAACCACTCACTCTTTGTGTTTGAAAGGAAGAGTTAGTTTTGTAGCTTACAGTTCAGTAATACATAGGCTGATCACAGAATAGCGTGAAAAATAGCATGGAAAGGGAAGCGTTGATGTTTTGCCCAGAACACTGTTTAGCACCAGTGTTTTGGTTAAAAACCGAGCTTTTGTAGACAATTTCAGTCTCTTGGCAGGGCAAGTCTGTCGGGTATGTTGCCAGAGCAGTGCTCGATGTCCAGGCTTAATGGATGGGATCTTGTCACTTGGATTTCAGCAGATATTTTGCTGTTTGGTTTCAAGGGGCCTTGGTTCCCTGCGTTCTGGCACAATTTTGTGTAGTGATTCCAGGAAGCTAATGCATGCAGTAAAAGTTGGCAGTTAGTTACGTCTGCCAGTGAGAAAACAGATTCAAAAAGCACCGGAGGGTTGATCCCCCTGTTCCCCTGACTTTAAGTAAGAGACAAGATCAGACATAAATTCTTAGGAGCTAATAAAGATTGCTATTTAAAGGCTTTCCACTCCAGTCCCCACCTTTAAATAGCTGCTTGTTCATTGCACGGGTAGCAGTCTGACCTGCCAAATCGTAGCAATTAGCAAAGCCCGCAGATACGGAGCACATTGTAAGACTCCCGAGGAAGTTCTGCGGAGTGTAGTAGCGGTCCAGGGAAGCGCTCACGCAGTGAAATCTGTGAATAGCGAAGTCTACTGACATATAAATTTTGGATTGAAGGAGCCTGAGTCCAGCAGAAGATTTGTTTCCTGTCCTTGAAGTTTCCCTAGCTAGAGGAATGCTTAATTCAAAGCATGACCCTTGTGTGTTCTTGTGCATCTCCAGACGTATTTGAAGTACTTTGTGAGTAAGTTCAGTATCATTTATGTTTGGCATTAGAAGGTGCGTCAGGTCTGGCTGGTGTTCCCCACTGGAATGACCAGGAGGCCAAACATTTGGAGTTTTGGCTCTGTTCTGCCCTGGTACAGATACAGAACCTCCTGTGGGCTTGCAGAAAGCCTTTGGTTGGTTGGGTGGTTGGCTGTTGGTTTTTTTTTTCCCGAAAGTTGATTGATTCTGATTTGAAAGTATCAAGCTTCTTTGTTTTGCTCTTTTGCTCCTTCTCCCAGCTGAAATAACCATGTGGTTCCGGGCCTCAGCGATCTCACTGAGAAAGTATTACTGAAATTCATGAGACTCTAAAAGTACCTGGCTTTATTGAAAGAAGTGTCTTTAGCCTTAAAGTGTGTACAAGGAGGAATGTTCAGACCTGTTTCACCTAGTAATAGGTTTTGATCTCTTTTGAAAAGAAAGCTTTGGCAAAAGGATTCTTGTTCATGGTGGGTATGGCATTGGCCTAGAATCGTTTCACGAAAGCCGAGGACAAACTTTGAAGAGAGGATACTGGAAAGATGGGTGAGGTTTACTGCAGCGGAGCAGGTGGCTGTTTATGATCACCAAAACCACAGAAGCAACTTGCCATGCCTTCCTGTGAAGCATCTGAGCAAGGTTTTAAGAGAAATCTGCAAGGGACTACACCAGCCTTGGCCCAGTTTGGCAGAAAAATAAAATCTCATTGGACAGAAAGAAATTACATGCTTTAACTGGTTGGAAAGGTGGGATTCTTAGGGCTGCCAACGTGTTCTTTGCTCTCGGGAACGGCTATTATTAGACACCTCAGAGGAGTTTTGTCAACGCATGTCTTTCTTCCGCTGATAATTCTGGTGAGCTACAGCTGGCATGTGGTTCTGTATTTTCAGTTAGTGTTCTGCACAATTGTTATTCCAAATTAATGTGTTGGTAAGCTTCTGTGGTGACCTCCCTAGAGTTCTGGTGACTGCAGTGGCTTCAGGTTTGAACAGCGATCCTTGCGCTGTGTTTGGCAGTACCTGGGTGGCCGGGCTGATTTCCTTCGTGGTCGCCAAACCAGCAAAGGTGAAAGAGGATCCAAAGCTGTGTAGTACTGTAGAATACTTACTGCTGTGACACAAGCTGAAGTAGTTAAAGGCTAGGAAGAGAGGAAGGGGTAAAAGCTTTTAAAATTAGTTACCACTGCCTGGTAGAAGCATACATATTTCCAATAAACCTGAATCAGTCCCAGTGCCATTCTGTTTGTTCAAGGCTTTTCTTCTCCCCTCTTAAAAGCATAATGTCTGCTTCTTTCTGGGAGATTAATATCATTGTATCATTCACGTCATTTTATTTATGTAATTTGTATAGTTGAATATTTTTCTGTCATAGACCGTGAGGTAACCTGTGGTTTCACATAATTGTATTGATTATTACAACCCAAGCTTGAGTTCCGACTCACTTCAGTATCTGTTTTGCTCTGCAGTTGACACTCCAGATCCTTATGTGGAGTTGTTCATTCCATCTGCCCCTGACTGCAGGAAGAGAACGAAACATTTCAATAACGATGTGAATCCCATCTGGAACGAGACCTTTGAGTTCATTTTGGACCCCAACCAAGAGAATGTTCTCGAGGTAAATCACATGGCTGAGCTGCATCTGTGAAACGGACATTGTACAATGTCTGGAAGGTTAAAATAATAGTATCTTGTGGCATCTGTTGTCTCAAAATTACAACTTCTTTTTTAAACATTGTAGGCTGGTTTTGCCTTTAGGCATGATGCTAAGGAGGAGGTGTTATATAAATTGTATTATTCAAAGAGTAGCCTGGAGACTCATTGTAAGATCTGCCTCCGAGTTCTCTCTCGCACTGCTCTGAAGGGCTGGTAGCTTATTGTTCATCACATCAGCCATAAATTATTTTCTCCCTGCTTCCTACACTGATTCAGCTATTATGGACAGTGAATAGGTGGAGGTAAAGTCAAGTCTCTGCCTGTTCCCTGCTTCTCCCAGAGGAGACAGAAAGCAGCAGTATGGTTCTGCTGTCTCTGTGCTTGGAGCCGAGGGCTGAGTAGCCCACCCAGTGATGTGCATCATACGCGACCTGCACAGGAGACAACCATACGAGGGAATTCACGACAACTTCATCACAGCCTTCAGAAAGCAGGTCACCCAAGGTAGCTGCCACCAGCTGGTCAGGTGCAGCCGTCACCTGAGTTGATTCTTACTACGCGTTTTGGTCAGAGACATGCAAACTGGCCGCGGGAAACTTGAGAAAAGTTTGAAATCTCTAACTTAGTTCTTGCTCTGTAATAACGAGACAGGCAAATAAATACCAGGAATTAGAAAGAGGGATGGAGTTATTCTGCTTTCTTTGTGAGAAAGCATTTGTGGAAATAGGAAGAATAAAAGAAGAACTTGGGTTCATAAACCTGCCTTTGTTGCAGTATGGGAAAGAAAAATTGTTTCAGTTTCGCCTGATAAAGCCTTTGTGGATTCTAACAGAATTCCTGGGGCAGACAGTTTTACCTGTCTGTTTGCAGATCCTGTGCTTTTTTGGAAGATCTGCAGGAGCTACAGCTGGCTGAATAGTTGATGTGATCTATAGTAGTTCTCATGATCTCCGAAAGATGAGTGGAACGGCAAACTGAGGAGTAGCAAATAGTAGTTAAAATATAGTCCCTTGCTTTTACTGGGGTTGTATAAAGACTGGGTCAGATTCTGCTTGTAGTTACACTTAGGCCACTTCGCTAGTAATGTATGAATTGGAGTACAAAACTTGGTTCACGGATTTTTAAAGGACGAATTAGTGAAGTCACAAACAGCAGTGGCCAGTGGCTTACCTGCTGCCTGCTTGGGAACAGTACCACCTCTTCTGCTCTGTGTCTGTATGCATTCTGATGTGAAGAAGCTGAGGTGCTGGCAAGCCATTAATTTCTTACTGTTACGTGATCTTAGATATTTTAGACCACGTGGAAGCCTGGGTCATTCGCTTGCTTCTGTGACTAGCTCATTTCCCACCAGGGTGAGAACCCCCAGTTACTGCAACATCTTTTGTAATTTGCTACAACTGCTGTTTGTGTTCTGCCGTTGTTGTACGCGCACGCGGTGCCCGGCAGAGCCTTTGGATTCTGCATGGCGTGCAGCCTCCGAATTCAGATCCCTGAAACCACCTCCCCACCCAAAACCTCCTTCTGAATTCCCAAGCTCCTGCAGACTCCATATTCCTCTCAGCTCCTCCGATTATTTTATTCTAAATCTTTATCCCACGTGCAGTTTTCACTCTGAAATGTAACAAGCTCTCCAAGATCCCATTAAGTAGTTTTTGCTATTGCTGTTGGCTTTAAAAGACAGCCCTCAAAGACTGCTGCAATGGGCATAAAGTTCTCCAAGGAAGCAGAAGATCGTAGATGCCATTAAAATAGGGAATTCTGTCCTAAAACATGGTTCATCGTTTCAAAGGATTGCTTGCAGCACAAGATGAAGAAGATTCTTTGTAGCTGAGAAGAGGCTGAGCATAGATGTAGCAACCAGTTATTCAAGTGATTGTATCTTGATTCCGTTTGTTTTATGCATAAGATATGATCCAAGCCACAGACATATGATATTTTAGAAGATACAGTTCCACAAAGTGGGAAAAAATTGTAAGCCAAGTGAGTTTGGAGAACTCATTTAATAGAAACCATGTAAGTGGTAACTGGAAATTCTTTCTGAATATCTTATTTGAGAAGGCTGTCACTGAGAAAAAAGACTGCTAGGTGTAGACCCAGATGGATTAGAGCAAAAGCATTGAACAGTGTTCTGCGGTATCCACATCCGTCTTTGGATAGTATCACGTTTTGAAAAGGTATGTGCTCTGACATGGAGAATATGAGAAGAGACTTGAAGATCTGGCTGGCCACAGGGGAAAGCTTTGTGTAATTTGGAGCGCTGCACAGTTTGCCAAGTCATTGGTCTGTAGATACAAAGCTAGCATATAGGGATTCTAGCTTCACTGAAAAGCTACTGTAAGGTTTTTGGCATATCACATTTAAAACTATGTAAGTTTCTCCCCAGAGAAGTTTTACCACCTGGAAATGTGAAGTAACCGGGTATTTTATACATATAATTTGAAGTTATGTCTGCTTAGAAGGATGGCGAGATGTACTGACAGAAAGGTTCTCGGATAAAAACCCTTTTGTCAATGACACTGTTGTACTCCTGCAGTTGAGTGTCTTGAAGATGCCACCTGCAGTAGACGTGAGCTGGTCTTCTTTTAAAAGAACGTGTCTGTTGGCACTGGGCATTGCCTGGGTTGGGTTAGGCCTATTCCTTTATTTTTCTTTGTTTTTTACTTTAGGCATAGCAGGGTGGAATTAAAAAAGGGATTTATTGAAGTAGAATTGAGTACCCCCGTGTCTTTTCTAGGTTACTTTGATGGATGCCAACTACGTTATGGATGAGACTCTTGGCACGTCCGCATTTCCTATATCTTCTCTGAAACTGGGAGAGAAGAAGGAGGTCCAGTTAACGTTCAATGAGGTAAGTTGCAACGTTCAGAGCTTTGCCTTTGTGGGCGCAGCTGTGCACATGATGGGAAGTTCTGAAGAGAGCGACTTAACTGAGACACCTAAACTGTTGTGTAGACCAGGGCGTACCACGTTTCAGTCCTTGATCAGGTGCCTGGATTTTGTCTGTGCCACATTTCTGGTTAGATAAAGCTTCTTCATGAATCGGTAGAGGACGGTGCTTGTAAAGGCAAAGTGATGTGTCGTAGGGACTCTCACTGAGCCTGATGTTACTTGAGTATTCCCTCAGTCATTTTGTTGAAGCAGAAGAAAAACATTTGGCCTGCTCTTGATACTCATCAGAAGTACATGTTCCTAGCTGAAAGGAAATCCCAGACCATTTCAGATCCCATCAGTCTTCCTCAGTACTGTGTATACTGTGTATGTGTGTGTCTTTTAATATGGAGCTAAATTTTGAACTCAAGAAGGGGTTAGAACGCGTCGTGGAGGGGGTAAGAGTGGCAGCCTTTCAGTCAGGGGGCACGGGAGGGGATATCTCACATGAGGGCTGTTCTCTGCATACCCTGTTCTGAAGCTCGTTTTCTGAGCATTCGCTGCCATCCATGGTTAAACACAGAGTGCTGGCCTAAGGGCTCTGCGTTTATCTGCTCGCAGTCCTGCTGAGAGGATTAAAAAACGCAGTGCCCCTGCATTTCGTAGTGTCCCTTCTGAGAGACTCCTCTTTAAAGGTCTAGTTTCAATCTTTCGCCTGCTAAACCAGTTTCTGCACCCCTTGGTGCAATTTGGCGTAATGGTCTGCGTTAGCACGAGCGGTTATGCAGAGTTTGCTGGGCAGTAGATTGCCTCTGATGCGGAGGTCTGTGGCTTCTGGGAAGCTGACAGGAATTCTTTTATTGCTGTGTGTTTCACTTTCAATAAGCGGCGTGTTGTAACACAGCCCTAGTTACCATACAATGATGCGTTAATGCAAACACTCTCAAAAAAGAGGCAAGTCCCAATGGGATTATTTGCTTTAAACATGAATATGAAACAGATGGAGTCAGTTTAACAGGGGCTGTCTGCCTGCACGGTCACTCCTGGAAATTGTTGTTAAATCTCTGGGTAATTAAGCTTGTTCTGCATGTATTAAAATACCCTCATTTATTAGAGTAACGTATCAGAGGCCATTCTGAACATAATTCTGCATTTGTAATTTTATCCATCGCATCTGTCTATCTTCATATGTATACATTGTATACATATGCTATATGTATAAATACTGTTTGCATTTCTGTTTTGGGCTATGGTTTATTACATGATCAGAGGTCTTGATTTGTGACTTCTCTGCTGTTTTCTGTGTGATTTAACTTTAAAACTGTAGTTACAGCAAATAGCTGTTTAAGGCCTGTTTATTGGAAGTCAGAGTTTGATATGCAAGATTTAGCATTTAATTAGGCGTAGCCTTAGGGCAGTTGAAATTTTGGTAACCTCCTCTCCTTATTTTTCTTTTTTTTTTTAATGTACTGCATTTTTTTGAAGTTTCTGCATATTTATTTCACTAAGTGCTTCAGCAGCTCTTGGGCTGCTGGAATGTGTACTGAGTGCTGCTGCCTGGTTCTGCCAGGCACGAGGTGAGGTAGCGAGAAAGAGCTGATAGTCCTTTGGCAATAAATTTTGAAGACGCAGTTAACAAAGCTCATGCCAATAACATAAGGCCTTGCCACATCACAGGTGTGCTTTAACTTCTCATCAGCACGCAGCAAAGATTGGTAGAGAACATAGGGAAAAAAAAACAGTCAAAAAAAGCCAAGTACAGTCCGCGATGTCTGAGTGAATGGCAAAGGAGCATCAAGTCCGAGTGAGCCCCGCGTAGCTGATTTGCACACACACCATGTGTTCCGGACGTTTCGGTGGCGGTCTGTATAAAGTGTAGCAAATGCCGTGCGGTTTCCCCGCTGGAGCATTTCACTTCAAGGGTTTATTTAATACCGTGTGCGTACATTTTTTTCCAACCGTTGGATCACTGCGTGGTTTCCGAAGTGCTTTCTAAATTAGTAAGATCAGTTGCTGGAGTAATGTAATTACTGCCCTTTGAAGTATTTCTGTAAATGACTCTTCACTCTGTTTCTTCATGTTCTGCCTGTGTTATTTCTCTGCCTTTTCTTTCTCCCACCACCCTGTCCGTCCGCCGCCTCGCTGGCAGCTCCCGTTTCAGCGGACAGGAGCGGAGTGCCAGGTTGTCCCTGGCCCGGCGGCAGGTACGCGGGATGCGGGAGGCCGGAGGCAGCTTTGCGCTTCCGTGTCCTTAGCTGCTCTGTGGAAGTGTCAAGCAGGCCTTCAGTGTGAGGTGTTCCAGCCCCGCTCCGAGCGATGGTGTGCCAGGAACGGGGAGGGCGACGCGTTCATAGCCGGAGGTGGAGTGAAACAAGGCGCTGTGTGTGAGCCTGCTGCACACCTGCAAAGCTGAGCCGCTGTGTCGGTGGCCATGGCCATGGTGGGGAGGTTAAAATGCCCGTCAGCTCTGTCCTAGTTCCAGCAGCCTCGTACTCTTGGATTTTGCCTAACCAATGCAACTGGCACTTTAACCATCGTGTTTTACCCTGGTGCCTGGAGTTGCTCTCTGAAAGGCAGAGGAGACCGACCACAGCCTGTGGGTCAGGTAGCTCTGTGGTTGGCAGGTGAGATCGTTGCGTAGTGACATTTCAAAAGTTACTTTCATCTTTCAGAAACTTGTAAGCAGTCGCTCTTCCTGGTTGTGTATTGAATTGTGGAAAGACACTTGGTGGCTTGTGTGGATCACAGAGCAGTCATTCCCTTACCAGTCTCGTTTAGATACCAGTTGAGTATGAAGTTTACCGGGGGAACGGGGAAGCGAGTGGCAGACAGACTGGCTGGCAGTAGAAACAAGGGATCATGTGTGTGAAGACAATCAGATCCCTTCAGGCCACAGATGAACAGCAGCGTCGAAAGTGATTGTCAGGGGAAGAAAGCCAAGGCAATGGGTTCCGGTGAATGGAAGTCAGGACCTAGCAGCGTTTTCTGCTGCATTCAGTGTTCGTGGTGTGCTTTGGAAGCACGTCGTGTGCTTTTAAAAAAAAAAAAATTCCGTAGAAAACAAACACATTCATGTATTTCAGAAGCGTCCTCCTTTTTTTAAACAGTGATTTAAAGAAAAAATCTGACAGTAAAAGTTTGTTCCAGGTGTGTTTGTGGTTTTTTCGCTCTGTGAGTGATGTAACCATATTTAAATATTTCTTGTTTAGGTCACAGAAATGACTCTGGAATTGTCTCTTGAAGTGTGGTAAGTATCTCATTAAAAAAGAAAGATGGAAAATGTATTAGTAACAAATATAATTTTTAAGAAAATTCTAACAGAGTAAAATAAAAATAATAATAATAATAATAAAAACTTTTATTTAAGTACAGCAGTGGGGTCTTTATGCAGCCCTGTGTACGTGTCTGATCAGACAATGTGGGGAAGAAGCTAGAGAAGAAAGCCTTCTCCTGGGGCCAGCCGGCACAACCTGTGCTGAGATCCATTCAGTTTTTGGTTGTAAGGCTGAATGGAACAGAGTCAAAATCACCCTCTCCTCGCTTAACGTTCACCTCTGACTTAAGAAGAGTGTATGTTAGTAGGAACGTATGAAAAATTTTCATTGCAGTTCTTTGTTCAGTGGATAAGCAGAGAATTCCAATTTCTAGACTAAATTTATAATTGGATGTGAGTGGTGAACTCGCTGTGTATAAATTTAGTAAGACCACCCAATACACCACCAGAAGCTGCATATTTTGTGTTTGGTTTCCACCAGTCTGTGAACAATGCGGTTTCTACATCAAATGCACATCCTAAAGGTGCGTCGTGCTGTTGTGCTTTGCGTCCATCACTCCGTGAAATCAGCTGGTGCAATTGTCGCCTGACTAATCATAACTTTATTTTATTTCATCTTATGTAAGTTGATGAGGAATTTACTCTTCCATTCATTTCCCTAGGTGATATTTTTAATTCTGTTTTGAATTATGCCTTGTGTTAAAGCCTGTTTGTTTTGCAAAACAGCTCTTCGACTGATCTCCG